TTTTTTGGTGACTACTTCCATGAGTGTTGAGGGTGATCCGAGTAAAATGAAATCTTTGACAACTTCAATCTTTTCTCCATGGATATGGATGTTGTTTATTGGTCCAGTGGTGAGGATTTTTGTTTTCTTTACACTGAGATGCAAAACCTTACTAGAAAGTATATATTTGTTTCAAAATAATCTTGTGGCAGGGAGAGAGTGAAGGGAATAGGAATAAGTATGACTCAACCAAATCTGACTGTGAGTTGACAATGGTGAAGCTGGGTGAAGAGTTGGGTGCAGCTCAGTGTACTAGTCTCCATACTTCTTTGTCTGTTTTCATTTTCCATGGGGAAAAGTTAAAAATTTTAAAAGGCCACCTTACTGGGTCTTCTGGCTTCCATTCTTCAGCCAGCTGTGTTTTTCATTTCCTACCTATTTTCTTTACTTCAAGTTTTTATTGTAAATTGAGTGATAGGTTTACATGGGAGAACATTCATTTTACACTCATCCTGACACATTCGTGTCATTGCAATGACTACAATCCCCTCCATTCATCATCATTCAACAGTATTTGCTTCTAGTCCTTCTGTGTTTTTTGGATTACACAAAAACACTCAGGAATTTATAATCATTTAAATCACCAAAGGGCACATTCTGCAAGCTTGCCTCCTGGCCACCAGCACACAGCCTTTCTCTTTCCATGAGTCTAGAGTCCTCAGCTGCTCTCTCTCACCATATCCTCATATCTGCCTCCATCTCTGGTGTCGCTGCTTCTCTGGATAGGGTACTGCATTCCACTTGTGCTCTTCTCCCTTGATGGTTCTAGGGTCCTCTGTTCCTGGACTATTAGATTAACTACTCCCCCCCCCCACTACCTATTTTTAAAACATAAATGGCAACATGTGACTTTCCTGCTTGAACCTTTCTAATAACTCCTTTGCACAAAGGTTATTAACACCCAAACTCCTTACTCCAGCCTGTGGGCCCTGGGTGAAATGGACCCAACTTAGTTCTCCAACTTCATCGTCTCATGACCGTCTCCTCTCATGTCAACCATAGAGGACTTCTGTTTGCCAGCACCTCAAGCTCGTTCCTCCTTAACGCCTTGCTTCTGCTGTTTGCTCCTCCTGGACTAGTCATCCTCAGTTCTTTGAACTGCTGACTTCTTGTCACCATTTACGTTTTAGCTCAAATGTTCTTTTTCAGAGTAGCCACTCTTAGTTTCTATCACATTGCTGTACCGTTTTCCTGATGATCTGATCATTTCTTGTTCCTGTGTTTGTCTATTCCTTTTGTTGGTAAGCAGGGATCTTACCAAAAACCACAGCCTTTGGTATGGTTTGCATCTCAGTGTAAAGAAAACAAAAGTCCTCACTGCTGGACCAACAAACAAAATCCATATCCATGGAGAAAAGACTGAAGTTGTCAAAGACATCATTTTACTTGGATCAACCTCAATACTCACGGAAGTAGTCGCCAAGAAATCAAAC